ATCCAAAACCCCAAAACCCCAAAACCCCTCAGGTGCAGATATCACGTCAAAATTTACAAATTAAGCAAAACACAATTAAACTCTACACTTTTATTTATTTCTCATATTCTTTGAAATTCCTCCTCTATAATATCATCAAATGATTTCTCATTTTACTCTTATTTCACTGCCACATTACTATTGCTAATCTTTTTCTCTTCTATTTCTTTGACTGCTTTACCAAATTAATTAAGTAGTTTCTATGGTTCGATGATATCACTATCATCTAGCTTTTTATTTGATATATTGCTGATGTCCATATTATTCTCATCGTTGAATTGCATCTTCTAAATTTGATCTATTCTTACTTGCATTTACTCCATAACTTGAACGAGCTAGACTTTAAGTAGGTTGCACTAAGCCTCATAGCGTGCTTTCTCAAGCGACTGAATTTCTATCTACTTTTCAATGAGTGCTTTCTGTTCTTAAATCAATTTTAGTTTCTAAGTGTCTTCATTAGTTGTGATCACATTTGTACTGGTATTCCCTCTCTAGGATGAAGTCTAAGACATATTTGACTGCCTACGAGAATCATTCAGATTAAGTTTGTAGGGTTCTATTGTCTACCACTTTTTAGTAATGCCTGAAAACTTGAAACCTAATTTAGGGTAAGGCTAGCCAAACTTAATGTCGAAGTCTTGAGAAGCTAACTTGTTGGCCTAAGGGTTCGATATCATTTTAAATTATTAAACTTTAAATAAAATTTGAAATAATTAAATAAATAATTGATTAAAACTTAAGTATAACAAGCAACTTTAACTTCAGATTAGAATTTAAATTTAAGAATAAGAAATAATTGGAATTGCAATTCTGATAGATTCAAGTAATATAACTAATAAAAATGAACTTAAGAGCAAAGAAGCAAGTCCTGATAACGGACCTCCTGAACAAAAGTGCCCCTACCAAAGTTAACAATCAAAAGTAAAGCAAAAGAGCGTAGTAAAGTAATAAAAACTCTGAGAGAGACTAAAAATTAGACCATGATCTGAGAAATGATCATAAGAGTAAGAATAGAAACAAATCAAATAACTAAGGTGCCAGAAACAACTCAGAAGTTCCAAAAACTAAAAAGAGAGGAAGGCAAGAGTTTGAGAGAGATCTACAAGAAGAAGAGAAGATGACAAATAAATAGACAAAAAATAGAAAAGCAGACAAAATCAAAGTAAATATTTCACCAAAGAGAAATCAGCACTAAACAAAGAATAAAAAATCTAAGCAGCGAGAATCTGATGCTGATATGATAGTTCAAGACTTAGCAGCTATCAGTAATATCTAGCTTAGAGGCAAAAGAATGAAAAAGGATGAATCTAAGCATGATGATAATGAGATGATTACCTTAAGAGATATAAAGTCAAATAACAGAGGTAGAAATAAATCACTAGCAGAAGCCTAAAGTGATTAAAAGCAGGTTTAAATCAGATAAGTAATTTCTCATAACTTAGGAGTTAGAAAGATTGTAGCGCTCCAGAATGGCTAACCTCATAAAAATCAGTCAAATTAATTAGTTAATAAGCAGGTCGAGATGAAGTAAGATGAGCCTGCTTAGAAGTCGAAGCAAAGAGGCAGACCTAAGTTTGTCAAAATAAATGAAGACTTAAATGACTCTCAGACTAATATTATAAAATCTAATAATCATCTTAACATCTAGCTTGACACCTAGCGGGCAAAGAGCAAGCATAGAAAATTCAAAATTCAAAATAAAAGTTTAGATATTATTGACATTGATTGCGATGAAAGAGTAAATAACAAAAAGTAGTCTAGAAAAAGTTTGTCTGCTGATGCGAAGCAAACTAAACCAGTCTTTGTGGAGTAGAGTATTACTAATTAGAGAGTTCTAAGAAACTACAATATTCTTATGAATAAGAAAGATTAGCATAATGCCTCAGTGGTATTCAAGAACGAAGATATGAAGTTAAAGACTCTTTATATCAAATTGAACAACGAGGACAACAAGGAGGAAATAAGCGAAAGCGAAATTATCTATAGAAGAGCTGTTTAGGAATTTCTCAATGAGAATCCAGAATTCAACCAGCTCAATTAATTTATGAAAAAAAGAAAGCAAAAGGTTAAGAAGGATCTTCTAGAATCTGAGGGATTGTTTGAGGTGTACAAGTAATGGTAGCCTATGAAATAAAGAGCAGATGTTGGAAAGAAGCAATTCTATGATAAAATTTGAATAATTAGTATTGGATTATGCATCATTAAGTCTATGCCTATAAGGAGGGATCTATTGTGTAAATAATCTGCTTCCTTAAGATGAGACGAGATTGTGCTATTGATTAATTTTAGTTTTTATTGATGTTTTCATAATTAAGAATAAGTTCACTAGAGTCTTTACCTTCCTCTAATTTTGAATTGGTGACTTTAAACGTTAATCTTAATTTGATAATCTTATAATAAATCAATTTAAATTATATATTATACAGCCCGCAAAAATGAAATTGAATTACGATATGTCTGATGATGATGAAAATCTACCCGATTTGAATCTATCCGACTTAGATGATGCATCTCCTGTAGGAGAAGTAAGAATTATACTTATTTACCTATCAAAAGTAGTTTCAACCTTAGGAGAGAACAAATACATTCTAACAGAATAGCCAGCCTGATAACTGGATTTTGAAGAAGCAAAATAAAAGTGATTAAAATGATTTGCTGTCCTAAAATTACTAGATACCTAAAGATTCATTAGAAGATGACGATTTTGATCAGTAGTATAGAATAGAAGATCTAATTCACAGAGATTAGGCTAATTAATAGAACATTCAAAATAAAAGGTAAGCTTTCTCAGAAACATCAGTATTATAATTGCCTACAGATTTGTTCCACCATCAATTGAAAACTATCATAGCAACATAAATCTAAAAGGGCCTAAAATCTATAAAGGTGAAGGCAAATTTAATAAAGACAGCAAGCCAGCAATGACTCCCTCACTTTAAATAGATTGTAAAGTTCATCTATGGTTTAATTGACTTAGTGAAAAGAGGTGATATTCTGAGCAGATAACACTGTTTCTAAACAGAAGGACATTCTGTTTACTTTCCATTTACTCCATATCAATGCTAAAAAGATTTCATGGGTAAAGTTATCAAGGCCTTAAATCAAAATGAAAATGCATTACTTGAAAGTCCTACTGGAACTGGTAAAACTTTATCACTCTTATGCGCCTCACTTGCCTGGCTAACATAACAGAGGGAAAGAGCAATGATAGACAAATCCAATCCAGATATTCCTCGCATTATTTATACTTCTAGGACTCACTCCTAATTAGCTTAGGTGTAAAGAGAGCTGAGAAATACAGCTTACAACCCCAAATCTATCATTATTGGTTCTAGAGATCATCTATGTGTGCATCCTGAGATTAAACTTCTAAGAGTAAGTAATTTTGCTATTTATCACTAAATAGGGCAATGCTTTGAATGTGGCTTGTAAGAAAGCTTAAAAATCATTAGATCCTTGTGCATATGGAAAGAACAGAGAATAAGCTCTGAAGACTTTGAAATGGGAGCCTTATGACATTGAAGAATTGCATAATATGGCTGTTAGCTAGATTTTCTGTCCCTACTTTGCCAGTAGAGATAGAGTTAATGGCGCTGACATCATCTTCATGCCCTATAACTACCTGATTGATGAAAAGATAAGAGAGAACTTTGATGTAAACTACAAAGGATCAGTGATCATTTTCGATGAGGCTCATAATGCTAGCAGCACAGCAGAAGATGTAGCAAGTTTCGAAATAGTTGAAAAAGTGCTAGAATAGTCAATAATTGAACTTTAAAAGCTGGAGGATGAGAAGAGAATATAGGAAGACACTATCAACTTTAAGTCAAATGATGAGGAAATAGCTAACTTACTTTAAATGACAAAGCAGTTTCAAAGATATCTCGATAATTTCGACATGGATCAAAGCAAAGTCAAAAATTTCAGAATTGATTAGTCATATCTTAAGGAGGGATCAGTCGTTATGCCAGGCAGAGAAATCTTTGAAATATTCACAAAAGGAACTTCAAGTAAGTATATTATATGAGCTTATTACTCTTTAGTCGACTATTTGGATAGAGTTAATCAGGAGTAGAAGTCTTCAAATATTTTTGCAGGTTGGGATAAATTCCAAACAGCATTTGACAATGTTCTAAATGATATAGCAACTCGTAAGTCTTATCTAAATGACAATAGCTTATAGTTCAATAATATCAAGTTAGAAACTCACTCGAGGTTTGGTATGATATTCTGAAGAAATTGATTCGTTTGAGATTTAAAAAGAAGCCTGTCGGAAAATCAACAGACATGCACCTAATTTAAGAAAAGCCAGTTGAAAGCGTCAATTAAGATATAGACGATTTTTACGTCTACATATTTGATGAAGAAGAGGAGGGGAGTAACTAACTGTAATTCAATGCTAAAAAGAAGAAAAATAGTGGGATATTCGTTTAGAAGAATTATCAAAGGAAATTAGCTTTTTGGTGCTTTAATGCTGGTATCGGATTCAGAGAGATACAAGAATTAATGCCCAGATCAATCATTTTGACCTCAGGTACTCTATCTCCTTTGAACTCCTTTTAAGCTGAATTGTAACTGCAATTCAATTAAAGGCTTGAAAATCCACATGTCATTAGCCCAGAATAGGTTTCAATAAACATTTTGTCTAGAGGAGTTAGAGATAGCTAGTTTAATTTTTCATTTTCAAACAGAGATAATGAGCTTTCATTGATTGACCTGGGTTTGACAATAGCTAATGTTGCTTCAGTTACTCCTGGAGGAATGCTCGTATTTTTTCCATCTTATCGAGTACTATAAAGATGCGAAGAAATTTGGAATAACAATAATGTAAAATCTGCAATAGAAAAGTAGAAAAAGCTATATATTGAACCCAAAGATTCTTCAAAGTACTAGTCAACGATGGATGCCTTTTATAAAGCAATATTTAACAAAAAATAGAACGAAAAAACTAATGGTGCTATTTTAATGGGCGTCTGTAGAGGCAGAATATCTGAAGGTCTTGATTTTTCTGATAATGCAGCAAGGTGTGTTATGGTTGTTGGTATTCCTTATCCTTAAATGACTGATGCAAGAGTAGTGTTGAAGAAAGATTATTTAGATAAGAGAATAAGTTAAAATAGGATGACTGGATCAAACCCTGAATTTCAAAGCTTATCTGGGAAAGATTGGTACTCATAATAAGCTACAAGGGCTGTTAATCAAGCTATTGGAAGAGTCATTCGTCATGTTCAAGATTATGGATCCATTATCTTGGTTGATGAAAGATATAACTGGGGAAACATGAGAGCAGCTATATCTAAATGGTTGAGGGATAGATTAAGACCTCATAACAAATTCATCGAATTATAAGGGACATTAAAGTCATTTTTTGAAGAAATGGGAAAAAGAAAGTTTAAAGCTAAGGTTGAATAATTAGCCTAAATATAATTGGAAATCGATGTGGATTAAAGTAAGCTATATTAGTATTTAAACTTATTAATAGATTAGAAAAAGTAGAGTGCTTCATCATCACAAGATGAAGAGTCAAAAAATGGAGTTCTAGGATTTATGAATCAAATTGGATAGAATAAGCCTAGTAAAAATACAGCTGAGACTAACAATAGAGCTACAGCAATATCCAAATTATTTGAAAAGTCCAAGAATGCTACGAACAAGAATTAAAAGAGAACTTTAGCTGATATTAATGAGTCGTCAGATGAACCTTAAAAAATAAAGATGAGGTTTACAAAGGATGAAGTGAAATAAACAGATAAATAAAATACAGTTATGATAGAGCAACAGCCAATCATAAAGAAGAACCCATTTGGATTTATAGATGATGACAATGATGATTTATTAGATATATTAGAGAAAACTAATCTTAGAAAGTAAAACACAGTACCTGCCTAGCATTTAGAATAATAAAATTTTGGGTTAGGATTAGGATTGTAAATGAGAGAATCTAAAAAGAGAGGTAATGACTAAGCTAATAGTCATCATTCTCTGGTGACTTAAATTGATTCTTATTCCTATAAAGCAACTAAGAAGATAAATTCAACAACAGTCTCAAGATTAGAGGAAAAGCAAATTGTGTAAGCCTAGAACTAATCTAATCAATCAATAATGAATAGTTCCTTCTTAAATGATTCTAAGATGAGCAATAGTGAACCTGCTAGGCCTAAAAATACTGGTATTTATTCAAGCAGCAGTAGTGCTACAAAAGATGATTCAGTTAAGAATAAATTCAACTTCCTTATATCAGGCTTTAAAAAATTCTTGACTGATTAGCAGCTATAACAGGTCATCAAGGTAATTCCAAAACTTAAAAATGCTTAAGAGATGCCGAATGTGTTTACCCAGATTAAAGATAGTTTATTCAATGGAAAGAGAGATTTGAAAGTTGATAAAAGTTATTAAGATAAAATGGTATTGCTTGAGAGTCTAGGGAGTTTCTTAAGTTCCGACAAATAAGAATAATTTAAGGGATTAATGGCTGGCATTGCATGAAAAGAATATTCCTATTGAATAGTAATGCTTGAAAAATCACGATTGGTACATATACATATAAAACGTCAGCTTTAATTTAATTGATAATCATTTAATTTCAAATTTTTTGTGAATAAGCTCATTCGGGGTTTTGGGGTTTTGGGGTTTTGGGG